GATTTGTGTTAGTTCTGGTATGGGTCTGTGTGTGTATTTCTAGCAGGCACTTAATTAAGACACATTTCAAGTAAGCTGCTAAATGGCCTTCAGGTTGCAAAGATGGAAATATGTCTGTTCTATTTAAAGCACTGAGATCAGCCTTGGTGCTACTGAAGTAAAAATGCAGCCTAACAAGAGAAGGGTTTCCATTTACTGGAAGAAATGATGAGTAGATACAGATAGTACCAACAGGAAGCCCACGGGAGTATGTTTTGAGCATTCAGATAAAAGAAAGTCTAGCTACTATAATCTAAATTATTATCCAGTAACTTACAGCCGATTGATATATGCAGACTGAAGACCTTTGCTTGTATGCAGGCTGTGGATCATCATAAATCAAACAAGATTAGGATATGTTCTGAAAATTTAGTTTTTTCTTTTTTTTTTTTTTTAATTAAAAGTAGCTGAAAACCTATGCAATGCTATCCCGCCTACGATTTAAAATCAGCTAAAGAGTCAGCATGACGTCCTCAAAGAGTTAGATTTTGTGGCAAAGTTATGTAGAAAATGAAGAAAGCTCTTTTTTAGATTTATTGCAGGCACTGGGATCTTGCTCCCTGAACAGACTGAGGAACAGTGAAGCAGAGATGTTCTAAAAGACTGGACTTACCGTTTAGTGCATTGGCTGGGGGGACTTAGATGTGCATCCCGTAATCGATAAATTCCAAAGCAAAGCATATTGTATGTTTTCAATGCTTTACAAAACAGATCTCCATAACAACCTCCATCCTAGGAGAAAGAGAGGAGAGGGGAGGAAAAAAAAAAAAAAAAAGAGAGAGAGAGAATAGAACATTTCTTTCCTTTCTTTTCTCTGTTAATCAATTTCAGGGAAGAGGATTTTCAGTATGAGCCTGTGCACAAAGGACAATATATAGACAGTTGTTTGTCACAAATATTTTACCCAAGGAAATTAATAATGTAAATTATTTCTTTCAAATAAGTAATTATGTAAAGTGACCATTATTTTGGAGAGCCTTGGTCCATGAAATAATGATAAATTGGGAAGGGTGAGTGATTTGCTTTAAGCTGGAAATACAAACTTTGGTACTACGCAATGCATATTTGACAAATTACAGTAACTGCTGTATTAAAATTGTTGGAATTTTTGTTCTTTTTTTGGCAGTAGCTATACTGTCATCTAGACAAATAAATTCACTTGGGAGCACAACAAAAATTAGAGTTCTGAGGGGTTAAAAGGAAAATAAAATATCTCCCACTTTAAATAAATGATGACATGTATACCATTTTTCATAAATAATATAAAATATTTTTGTCAGAAAAAAAAAGTTTAGATAACTCGTATATCTATTGATTTTTAAGGTAAGATGATTGTCAATGCCTTCTGCCTTCACTGATGTCGTGCAATTGAGGCTCTGGTGAAACAGCATTTGAAGGACTGGTACCGCTTGTTTTATTTGTGAAAATACTATGCCACACGCCCAAGTTTTTGATGAGCTGTTAGTCTCAGCTATGAATGGACTTCTACATGAACTGAAGAGCTGTGTACTTTCATCTGTGCATTCTCATCACCCTTAATCCTTAAACTGGGACTCCTTGCCATTCCTCTGAAGAAGGTAGCTCCATTCCTTTTGAGCAGAGTGGGTGAACACAAAGCTCATACAAGAAATATCAAACCCTACATCGTCATCAAAGTGAAGTGGGATTTGCCACAAGATTACAAGATTTGGTCCAGAAAACATTTCTACATACGTTTTTATCCAAACACACTGTTTCTTTAAAGACGGTTTGTTTATTTGGTTTGGGTTTTTTCTTTTTTTCTTCACTCTTAGGACAGTGGAGTCCAAATGTCAGAAAAACAGTAATTTGCAAGAATTTAGTTTATCCAGAAACAGCAGAAAACAAACCTTACAGCTTTGTTTTCATACTCATAAGCATATTTTAAGCAAAATATGGAAGCTCCATGGAAAGACTAATTAAGCTTATCAAAACTCAACAAAGATACAATATTGCTCCTGTTTACAATGGATTGTTGTCAGAATGGTTATATCATCCAAGTCAGCTCATCCATCTCTTCAGCTGACAACTAAGAATAACCACAGGATTTTCTATATGAAATAACCAGGCAGGGAGACTGGGAAATCATACAGCTTCTTACAAAGGGTAAGAGCAAACCTGGCACCCTGTGCTGTAAGTTGTCAGACAATGCAAAAGCTCTATTAAAGTAAAGAATAGAAATTTTATGCTCATTAAGATATATTTTTAATTCGGTCTGAGTGAAAAGAAATAGATTACAGACCAGCCTTGGTCCTACATTTCCCCCATGATCTTACCCCTAGGTCTGCAAACGGCCCATCATACAAAGCCAACTGAGCAACTCGACACCTGTCCCTGTTTGCAAGTGTCTGGGGCGTGCTGTAACCTCCTCTCAACGCATTTTCCTCAGCGATCAGTGCTTCCAGCTCTGGTGTGGCTCCTCCTGTTACCAATGTCCGTATCAGTGTGAGGATATTGTCATTGAAGTATGTCTGCAGAGATAAAAGAAAGCTCTTTAAGCAAACACCATTAAAGTCACAACTGAAGACATCCAAATTACAACTTTTCTGGGTTTCTGCTGTTTAAAGTTCTTGGCTGTCTCTTCAAATAATTTTATACAGAAAGTGAAAAGACAGCAGCCTCCAATTACTCTATTTTCTTCTATCCCATTAGGCTCCTACACTAGATCCTTCCTTTTAAACACCAATTCAGGCTGATTTTTATTAAAGTACAAAAATTTGAATGATTTATGTTTCCTATAATTGGTGTTAGTAGTGATGCAATGACTGCTTTCCTTCTCATTGCCTTCATGTCTAATAATGGGCTTTAGGACATGTAATTGTAAAATTCAGACCACATTTAAAGCTTACACAGGCTAGATTGCCTTTTTACTCCTGTCACCAATTCGTTGGGGAGCTGCCTTTGTGCTGCAAATGTCATTACTTATTACTGTGGCTGGACTCTAGCAGTCTAACCGATGTATTGTACTAAACATCTTATTACGAGACTTGACAGTGTTCAGACATAAGCATGTATCAATTAAACATCTTGAGTTCATTCCAGATAAATGTATGATGAGTTTGGGATCCTGGTGGTCCTTTTAAAAAACTCTAGGGTATAGGGTAAGTGTGGTTTATTAGGGAAGATTTACTCCACACTGACATTTTGCCAGCATCTGCAGCATTGCTGGTCTGTCAGGCAAACAATGGGTATTTTAAAAATTAATTTAATGCCAGATGAATGACTTTCAAGTTCACTTAAAAGTATACTGGTATAGTTCAGAGATACCCAGTTAAATATCTGCACTGTAATATACTGGGGGGGGGAAGTGGAGCAAAAATGAGACACCGTCGTTTACAATGTCACTAATGTCTGTGTTTTCAGAAACTTTGGAAGCGTGGGGGACATACGAGAATAAAATGAGCACACTGTAGAGTACACAGGATTGATATTACTGGATCTGTGGATTTCATTACTAGATTTGTGACTTTTGTTGAATTTAGGACTTGGAACAAGTGCCTGTAATCCAACCAGGTAAAAATGAATACTGAATTCTCAAACAGTGCTTGTTGTCAAAGGTAATGCTTTTTAAACAATACTCTTCAATGAAATTCATTGCTCTATCAATACAATGTAATTGTATTTAATACATGGGTAAACTGAGGTACAGGTTGAAATATTTTATCTTGAGATCAAAAAGCAGAACTGGCTTCCCATCCATGTTACTTTGATATTCCTTCTTTGTATAATGAAACTTCAGTTTTATTGTTCACTTGAGATGACAGATAAAACAAGAGAAAATGAATTCTACGCAGCAACATTTTTCACTGTTACACTGAAGTTTCCTAACTTCAAGCTTCTCTGCCTATTTGCATAAGCACATATGCAAATCACCTGTTGAATAAATTAAAATGAAAGAAACATATTACTATCATTATATATGCCCTAAAGCAAATCTTTGCATCTCATCAACTCCAATCCTTTGAAGTTAGCCCAGGTAAGGCAGTACAAATTTTAAATACAAACTGTACTGTAAAGAGTTGTCTGAAATTAGCATGGGTTCAGGAAGACTCAGCTAGTCTAAAACAAGAGCTAATCTCAAATCAGCTCTTACACATGTGGATGCACTGTGTAACAATTCAGGTGTAATACTCAAACCTTCCTTAACATATAGAAAAATCAATGTGACCCCTTGCAGGAATGTAAGTCTGGAGTGATTACATGATGTTTAATAGGTATCGCCATGGTGAGAGAGAGAAGACATTCAGGCATGACTGTTTATTCTTCAATTACTTCTTCCTTGATGTCACTGAGGTGAGAATCAGTTGCCCTCTTTAGCAACTCTTCCCACTCTGCTATACTTTTCCAACATGGAAGTAGTCAGAATAAAAAATTGGCATTAAGTTTAGTCTATTTTCTTAGTCTTTGTCAGTGTATGTTATATAGCACTCAGAACCGAAACAATTATCAGAATTCCTTTGGTCCAGCAGTTAGGCAGCATTGCTACTTGACATCCGTTTCTTGGGTATAAAGCCAAATTCTGCCAGATCTAGAGGTTGGAGGCACTGCAATTGGAGAAGCTGGAAAAGCCTGTTCAGTAATTCTCTACGGCATTTTAACACGCCTTCACAAAAGCACACCATTTTCTGCAATAGTATCTTTTCTTATGACTTCCCCAATCTTTTAATAAGTATTTCTTATTCTTTTTCTTCTCTAACTAGTGATATTTAGTATTAGTAAAAAAACACTACTCTCAGTTTTACATCTATAAATCAAGATAAAAGAATATGAAACAAAAGCAAAGCATTTCTCTACTGGTAGATTTTTCAAGTCTGGTTTACAACGAGGCCACCTATGGTAAGAAGTGTTCACCTGCTCCAAGACTGATGGATACCGGTTCATGTGAAATAGCCTGTGTTTATAGACTGCTGACTTGCAGTGTCTAGTACAACACTCAAAAGTCTAAAATTGTGCTAATAATTTTATTACTACTTAGGAGGTATCATTAGGCCAGCCTTCACTGGTTTCCACGTCTTTCTCTCCTTATTCCGTAACACAAATAATAGCAACCATAGCCAGAATCCAGGATTTAAACATATATACTCTTAGCTCATCTGAATTTTGTATTGTGCAAGTACACAATTACCCCATATCATAAATTCAGTTGTAGCTCACTAAAGTATGATCTACTTAAAAATTATACTGTGGCCATATCGCTCATTTTACTACAGACCTCATATTAAACCGAGAAATGAAAGTAGTAGCAAAATAATGTATCAAGTCAGGCACTGGTCACAAATTCATTAATTAAAATAAAATAAAATACCCCATCGCCCCCCTCAAACCCGAGTGCAATTAAGACACAATGGGCCCAATTCTGACTTATGTCATGTGCCAACCAGGAGGAACTCTGGGAGCCATACACTACTATGAAACTGATGAAAATGAGGAAAGAATCAGGTCTATTGTCAATGGAACAGGACGCTGTCACTGGAGAAAGGCCTCCCACTGCTAGACAAATGTTAAGGCAAAGCTAAGACACTTAGCAATGGAGACAACTTTTATCTTTGAACAATGGCTTAATTTGGGTTGCACAGTGACATGTGGATGTCACCATTTAATCAGATGGATGAATGCAGCCAAATGAAGGGTTTTGTTTTTTGCCATCAATGAGTGAAAAGATTCTAACTTTCAGGATGGACTGCTCTGGCATTTCATCCCATCAGAAAGTTCCCAACCATAAGGAAGAAAGGATGGCTGAATAGGAAACTGAAACTTGTCACCTTCTGCTAAATAAGGTTGCTTCCTCCTGAACTAGTGTATTTAACACTCCACAGGAAAAAAAAATCTGTCCATGCTTTCAATTTCCTCGAAAATCAGACTCCTCTCATTACCTCTTGCCAGTTTGGAACTGGGGGACACTGAAAAGCTGAACTAGCTGATATCCATTTCCTTTGGAATAATAATACATTGAAATTAATTTGAGAGTGATCTTCTACTTGCTCTGTGGGAGGGTACATGGCCTGGATATGCCAGTACTTATAAGAAACCAATCTACAGAATGTCTTTGGAAAGGTGCTGCAGTACTTAAAGTAACAAGACACATTCCAGTGATGGCAAGTGAATCCCTTTTGTTGACTGTGAAACTGTAACTGAATAAATGCTTGTTTGTTGCTGCCCTTAACTGAACCTCACACTGGACATCTGTATGACATCGCAGTAATCGGCACCCAGAATGAGAATATGAAATAGGTGTACTCCAAATACTGAAAAAAGGAAATGCATCATAGACACTGAAACTGGGTAGATGGCAAGCAATTCTAACATGGATATCTGAGCTAGCAGTGCCACCTAGCCTATGCTCCAGAACTGTAGCGGAGCTCTTTCAAATCTTTCTGTGAGGCTTTCCCATTTCCTCAATCATTTTTTAAAGTATAATTACCAGAATGCTTATGTTTTGTGGTTAATGCTGTCAAGCCTTTTAAACTAATTGGTCTTTTACAGAAAATGTAACTGAAAATTAGCACATCTTTTAATAATATTGCTTCAACTTTAATAGCATTTTGCCTTTCATTTATAATTACTCTAAAATTGTCATTTTCCAAATCATATCTGCCATTTTTTTGTGTTTGCTAGTGGGGTTTTTATGGATTTCCTTTTAAGAAGACTCCTCATCCACAGCATGCAGTTTTTAACTTTGGTTTTAAACAAATATTTTAACTTGCTTTTCTTTTTCAGTTGGAGGAATGCTGTTGAATGAATAATATATATCCAAACCTGAGGAAATACTGAGCTAACATCAGTAACTTGTACCAATAACAAAAGTGTCTTTGAGACAGAATCAACAGCAGAAAATAAATAACAGCATTTCAAAATTTTACAATCTAGTGATTCTCAAAATATTGTCCAAACTTTGAAGAAGTTTGGGACACTTTAGGTTACAAGATGCTGCTTGCTAATCCTCTGAAAGGTCTTGCACAAAAAATAGTCTCGTATTTCAAATTTTTCATATCATTGATTAGAACAGTTTCTTTTCTGTATAAATAATACTGTGAGGGTCTCTGAAGGAGAACTCGAGTAAGGAATACACTGAAAAGTTGTTTTTAACTGTTTTAAGTGTTGTATTCCATTCTGTGCTTTCATTTATATGAAGAAAATGTAGAATTTAGTATTATAGAATAAAAATGGAGACCTAAATTATTAGCACAAGGAAATAAACTCTAGGATATCGTATGTTAAACTGTATAATCTGGTTCTGCAGATCCTTGCCTCTAACAGCACCACTCTGACAGTATATAAGATCTATTGTCAGCAGTGTGTGTGGAAGGGATGCCAACCTTCCAGAACTTCTGTGGTTGTTATAGCTTCAGCACCAAAAGGAATAACAGAGAAGCTTTGGCTCTCAGGCCAACTGTTCAAATCTTTGAAAGTACTGTGTGTTTACAAAACTGGTTTCCTTCACACACAGGATTTTCTGGAATAACTACCTCAACGGGACCCTGAAAAGGAAAAAGTACTTCTCCTCAAAAATTTGCTCCTCTTACTACCCTATGCCACCTAACTTGTTTGTAGCTGAAGACAATCCTTTTTACAAAACATTGACATCATTTAAAAGGTACTTCCAATAACGTGGGTTTAGTCAAATTCAACTTGGTGATGAGAATGTGCTTTGCTTTTCAGGAGCGCTGCCTCCTTGAGCCTGACAGACTACATATATTCTTTCCCTGGGTTTGCATATGTTATGACAAAACAAATATTAATGTATCATTCATTCAACTTGCATTCCAGAGATATCGACAGAGATCAACAACTGGAATTTTTCTATCAAAATTAAGCAATAAAACCCCCTGAATCACTAAGTAGACTGAGTAATGAACTAGATTCTTGTCTCAAAGTAGCTGGTACAAGCCAGCACAGTGAATTATTTCCCCCTTACAGAATTCCTGTGCAATTAATAGGATGAAAGCATGACTAGATCTCACAATTTAGTGAGAATTTTGGGTTCCATTTGCTGGAACTGGCTTGTCATTAGGCAGAATAAATAGAAGCTGGTGTCTAAAAACAAGTGTACTCCAGAAAAGGAAAGAAAGAAAAAAAAAAAGAGATAATATAGTGCAAGTGGGTTTGTTTCTGTGAAAAATGGTCTTTTCCTTGGAGAAGAGAAAGGATAATACATCCTTCCCATGAGAATAGGGATAGTAAAGGGAAAACATCTCACACATCTTAGACTTTCTGAAGGGTCAGGAAGTATTGTACTTTTCCAACTCTTTACTAGGCCTTTGAGGAATAAAAGAGAAAATAACACTGCCACTGATCAGCAAAGTGGTGAAAGAAAAGATAGGATGGTGAACAACTCTGACTGAATCCTTGGCTTGTCTTCTTGATTAGTATTTTTTTGTAAGCTAGATTTTCTACCCTTGTTATCATATTTACTTCTCTGGCTTCAGGCTGCACTGTCCCTGACATATAGTATGACCACTTAGATGTGAAAATGTTTGAAAAAACACTTCGTTGAAGAAAGGAATTGCAGAAATGGAGGGGCATGTCAAAAAATAAAAATTAACTAAATCTAGAAATAACTTAAAATATTGTGAGGAATATAAGATGAGTTCCAAGTAATAATTTCTGAAGAGTCATGTTCCACATATTTCTTACCGCCTTACTATTATCTACATGATATACCTTTGCAGAAGAAAGCAATAGCATCCACAACGTGTTGCTCTCTTTTTGTGGTGATGCCAGTGGCAGTCAGAAGAATTAACCCTATTTTTTCCAAGATTCTCAAGTGCCCACTGAATGATTCATTCAGTGACAATGATTTAGATAATAATGTGAGTAAACAGCTCTCAGTATAACAACTTGGAACCTTCATGTTAAATTATTCTCATTTATAATGCGAAAATGCTCAATATGTGAAAATGCTCAACATGTTATTCATAGAGATTTTAATTAGAGAATGTACAGAGTTAAAGTGTGCTTGCTTAGGCTTTCTGAATTTGTCACGTCTGCAAAATATGGCCAGTAAACTTCAAAAAAAAGTATTTTCTGAGTTTATTGCAAACTCTTAGGCTGCATTAGAATAAAAATTTATCAGTGTACACTGATTTTATTCATCTGTGGATGGAACATATGAGAAATATAGCAGGGAATAAAAATATGAAATACAGATGCATAAATATGAATCAAATATCAGATAATAACAATCACTGTGAATTTTTCTTAAAAGTAAAAAGCTTCATTCTGAATTTACGTGAAGGTCAGACTTGGCTCCTTTTAGGAAATCCATCTGCTTATTTCTCATATTGTGTGCAGTTTACAGCAGATTATTCCCAGCACCATGGAGCTTTATTCCACAGAGAGCTCAGAAAGCTTATGCTTAGATTTTAAAAAAGCTTTGTCTTTGCTACGTCTAGCAGAGCTTAAAGTGCCTCTGAAGGAAGGGCAGCTCACCCAGAGCAACACTGCTCTGAAAATCTAGCCAATATGAAGCAAGGGAGGACGAAAAGGAGTGTGACTGAGGTGTTTGCTTCAATACTATGCTATGGCTGAAAACCAAAACCCTAATGTAGGCATAACCAAAGGCCACCATCTGCAGTTTCTGGCATGCACTTATGTTTTCATTCACAAGACAACTCATGTGAAAAAGAGACGATGACCTCTCTTCACACAAGTAGAGTTCACTTGATGTGTACAATGGCTTTCATATAGTTCTGCCAGTGTCCCCCAGCACTCAGAGCGTTGTTCATAGCTACAGGAAAATAAAAGCTTAAAACATATTTGCTGCTGTCTGACATGAATGGTGAGCATAGGGACTGACGCAATAAATTTGGATCTGGGTTTCAGAAGGAAGGTACAACATTTTTTTGAAAATATTATTCTTAAAGCTGGACATAAGACTGCTTTTAAAACTGTGGACTCATGGTAGTCCTAGGTATCTCAGTTGTTTTAATGTCTCTGTGTCCAACTAGAAAATAACCTACGTTAGGCTCTGTAATTCTCTTGACATCTAAGATAAAAGTTGATTCTCCTGATTACCTGTAGAAAAGGGACTATGCTTTCATACTTTTCGCAATAAAGCTGATGGAAGAGAATGAAAGAGGTTTTGTTTGCTTACTGCGCTCATGAGAGAGTCCAGCACACTGACAGCAAATGCAGTTCCACATGCAAAGGGCTGTGTGAGGTACAGTTCTGTGTCTGGATCATCATCATCATCTTGGTCCAAGAACTGAACATTTGAATCATTTACTGAAAATAATAATATAAAAAAAAAAAATCATAAAGTGCTTCTAGGTCACCAGGATGTGACCTTACACATTACACAGTCAGAAAGAAAAAGAAACAGCATATGTCTGGAAACACAGACTTGTGTCTGACATCACTGAAAATGAAATCAAGATGGATGTGAAAATGTCGATTTAAAAATCAGTTGATCATTATCCTCCTTGAGAGGTGACTACCCCTTTGCCATAAAAAGTACCTTCGTGGCACTAGCTGCCTGCACTCAAAATGAGATACATGACGCTCTTTTCTATATTGAGACAATCTTGGTATCAGTTGGGTACAGTCTGTATGCATGTACAGTGAAATGTTATCACAAGACACCAAGGCAGACCCCTTTGTAAAATAAAGGCCGTCCATAAAACACTGATATAGCCCACAGGCATCTGTTAGATGTGCTGCTGTGATTCTTACTGGATTGGTGTTAATGCATTTAGAGCTGGAAAGACGATAAACTGTTGCTTTAACATGCATCTATCTGAATGAATGAGCAATACTCCAGCTAGTCTCTTGCAGTACTGCCTTTTGTCCAAATATTTGTCTCTATAACTTCACTTCCTTAGCCACTGGCTAAATCCTTTATTTGCCAATGTGAAAAAGAATCTACATCAGTCTGTTTTAAAGAAAAAGCCCAAATAAAGTAAGATTTGTCATTTAAACTTCCTCTGGCATTTCACTGTCACAGTTAAGCTCTCTGCCTCCACCTCATTCCACTAAAAAGGTTGTTTCCTTGAGATCAGTGTATCAAGCGGATCATATTTCATGAAATACTTCATTTCCATATTACTCCTACTCAGGCATGAAAACAAAAACTGCTTAGCTATGCCAACAAAATACCCTTTAATTTATTAAATGACATATTAATTTAATTTCCCATGCAAGGAAGAGAAATTATAAACTTTTCCAGCATTTGACCGCACACATTGACTAAGTCCCTATTCCCATGTGAAAAAATGTCCTGAGCCAAGCAGGGAGCTCTTAAAGCAACGTGAGAGCTGCTGTTAACTTGATCAGGTTTCAACTTTGGGCTTCTTAGGTTAGAACGTCTTCTGCCTGGTATTGTGATCTTCCTTCCTATATAGTTTCATTTTCCATTCACTTCTTTTTCCACCTCTATACACTACTGTGCTTGCCATGCTAAACTTACAAAACATGAATAATTATATAAAAAAACTCACAATAGCTGTCAAAGAGATGAGAATTGTTTTTTAGAGCCCTGTTGAACCAGTACTTGGCCATGATCATACAGTAAGACAGGATCTGAGCTGAAGTGGGATTTTAAATTCTTGTCTTCCCACTCCTTGATGTAACCATGAAAATATAACACCTCAGCACTGTAAACGGAGAAGTGTTCTGCCCTGGGAGTCAGTCAGAACAATTTTTACCTAGCGAACAACAGTATCCACAATACTCCTTTCTTTGTACAATGGCTATCAATTTTTCTCCAGATTCTTGAACAAAATAGTATTTGAACGCCTGACATATCATTTCAAAAAGTACTTTTTGAAGAGCTTGTGCCTTAGTTTAATTTGCGAGTTGAGAGTAGGCACTATTGACAGTAGCATTCTTTTTCCACTTACATCTGGCAGACTAATACCTGACTTTGACACCAGCTTGCTAGCCGTGCGTGGTGTCAGTTTCCCAGGTACTACAAATCTAATGTGAATTCTGCAAGTGTGTTTTTATCCTCAGTATCTTTATCTTCCAGATGCAAGTTAACACGCTAGGATTTCTATGAAAGGTCTCCAGGCTAGGTAAGGTAGGCTTGAATGTGCGGTGCCGAGCCATAGGAAGTGTTCATCAAACACTGCTCACAAGAGCTGGTGAGAGCTCTCTTTATTGAGCGGGAGCAATACAGAAGCTTGGCTGCTTTTTACAGCTTCAAAATCCGAGCTTCTGAGAAAAGGCCTAGTCCTCCAAATAAACAAACAAATAGCTTAAGGGAAAGTATGATGCTGGGGTTTCATTTCTGGTATCTTTTACTTCTTCTTTGACCTCCTGGGAGAACTGCTAAGGCATGTCCAGCAAATTGACAATAGGCTGAAATAACAAAAAGAGAAAGAAAGAGAGAAAAAGA